ACTACAAGGTGCTTAACTCCAGCCGTTTTAGCCAACATGGCATGTTCTCGCGTCTGACCACCCCTATCGAAGCCCGTTTCGAATTCACCTTTTCTAGCAGAAATAACCTAAAAGACCAAGCATTTGTATTAAATTCAACGTTTAGTGACTACACAAAAAAATGAATAAACATACGATTTACCAGAAAAATGAATTCAAAAATTAGTAACAAAATAGTTAAATGTAACAAACCAGAACAGCAAGGTCAGCCTGCGCAGCACCACCTATCATGTTAGGAACGAAACTTTTATGACCAGGAGCATCCAGGATCGTGAAATGTTTTCTTTCAGTCTCAAAATACGCTCGACCTACTTCCACCGTTTTTCCTTTTTCTCTTTCTAAAATATAAAAAAGAATTTAAAATGTTTTTTTTTCACTGCATCAGAATAACAATGAACGAATATTTTTTAATATGACAACTACAGTATTTGGTATAATGAATATTCTTAACTATCAATTAGATCTGTTCTTATTCTTATACACATTAGCAAATCAGAGTATCTATATAATATTATTTAGAAGTTGTTTGTAGGCCAATTATTCAACGACATACGGCACGCATTTCATCTTTCTTACTGGCCAACAGTATAACGGTATATATATATATACATAAGTATTTTTATGAAGTTATGAATTTAACAACTACGTAATAACGTTAACGTTGTGCCTGTTTCTCCCTTTATACAACTATAGTCAACAACAGGCCCTAACTAATATTCATTGGAGACAGGGTAATTAACTAAAAGTAAACATGCTCTTAAAATTGCAATGTAATTATTACGACTATTAGCTTAAATTAGAAAAGAAAATATGCAGACAAGTATGAAAATCAATTATAAATGTTCAATTATTATTTGATAGGTATGTGTAATAGTCGAGGCAACTACATCATAACTGCTTTCTATTTTCAAGTATAAAACATGTGGCAAGTATGCAATTTTAATTATTAATAAATATATAAATAAACATTCATAATATATTTTTCTGGTTCATACCTAATAAGAAAATAAACATTTGTCTATCCCCAGTAGTAACATACTTAGTAAGTTCAAGTAAGCATGGGTTGCAAATAAGAGATTAAATTATTCTAGCACCTGAAATCTTACTACAAAGCATTATGAAGATGCTTAGAATAAGAGCTTAGTGCTTTATGGAAAAAATCCAAAAAGAAATTCATGTATTAATGCATTGAAATTTTTTTACATCACAAAATTCTACAAAAAAGAGTAACCTCTTATTTGATTTTTAAAATTTAATCTTTAAAAAAACAAATTGTATTTACAGAAGAATTAAAACTGAAAAAGCGTTTCTTCGCATTAAAATTTCATAAGTATTTCAACGCTTTCCTGATAATAATAAGCTCCAACTTTAATACATCAAAATAATGACTCAACAATGTTTTAACATCCTATGAGTTATAAAAATTAATTCTGCCCTGCTTACCTTCTTGATTAGTATCTAAAGCCCACGACAAATACCACGTTTCTCTACTCCTTTCTCGAGCTTCCCGTTCATATTTTTCTAGAGTTCTCTTATCAACCATTCCTGTAAGAGCCATAATCTGTCCTCCAATAGTTGATTTACCAGCATCAACGTGTCCAATGAACACAACGTTCACGTGTTCTTTCTTAATCTGAGACTCTTCATCAGGTTTTTTTGGCTTCTTCTTTGATAGCTTCGGCGTTTCCTCCGAAGAAGGTTCCTCTTCATCCCTATCAGGAGTTGATGCTTCATCTACATCTTCTGCCTCATCCTCCCAAGTACCTCCTTCAGTTCCGCCATCACTTGGAGAAACATCCCCTCGGTCAGCAGGAGGCAGAGGAGGAGGTTCTTTAACCTCTTCTTTTTCTGTTGGAGGCTCTGAGTTCATGCCTATGATAAGAAATCCTTCGCTGTTTACATTATATACCTCATATAAACAAACAGATTTAAAATATTACAATTTGGACAATGCTTTATAATAAATATACAGTTCTTATTCATAGAGAAGACCATGCACTTATTAAACTATTATGTTTTGTGGCAGCAGCTTTTAGAAAGTTTTGTGGTTATGAAATTATAACATTCAATTTTTTATTATTTACTTTATAATCTAATAGGTAGTACTTTTAAATTTAGTTAATTAATCTTGAAAATATCAAAAACAAAGAGATTTTCTATTTCAAACTATATTGAGACACAATCTGGTTTTACTTAATTTCCTGTTTAAACTGGTTATTTGTAGAATATCTGTCATCTACAAATAATGATAAATAAAGCAACTAGAAAAAGTGGGATACGTAATAAATTTTCCGATTTTGATACCTTGCTTCGTCCCAATTGACCGTAGGATCGTCCATTTTATTTACTAGTACTACAAGGTGCTTAACTCCAGCCGTTTTAGCCAACATGGCATGTTCTCGCGTCTGACCACCCCTATCGAAGCCCGTTTCGAATTCACCTTTTCTAGCAGAAATAACCTAAAAGACCAAGCATTTGTATTAAATTCAACGTTTAGTGACTACACAAAAAAATGAATAAACATACGATTTACCAGAAAAATGAATTCAAAAATTAGTAACAAAATAGTTAAATGTAACAAANACTGCTTGATAGATTGTTTTACAAATAATTTACTTAATAAACAACTGCATTTGAATATAGCTGAAAACTCATATGACTTTTTTGATTAACATTCTCGAAAATAAAATTATCTAACCTAATTCTGATGCATGCTTTGTCACCGAAATAGTTTAAGGATGAGAAAGAACAATGAACCCAAATCTTACCATTTAGAACAGGATCAGCAACGGGCGATTCTTCGGCATTCTCGGACTTAACAGACGATATATTTTCTTTAATTACAATCGACTTTGCGAAAGAAGGCACAAATTCTTCAGCATCAACATTCAACGTGGAAAATGCAGCTGTCACGTCTGGAGGCCGTGTTGGTGAATTATTTGCTGAAGTAGAATCTGCTTGAGATTCCCATGAGTCTGGAGCCGTGTTGTTGGACATTGTTAATGCACTATTTACTTTTATTTAAACACTAAAATTAAAATAACTGTTTCTACAATGATAATTCCACTGCCCGTGATTACGATCCGCGTGCGTTTGACTCTACGGCGGAAATTATGGCACCTGCACCCTGCACTGTCAAATAGCAACTGTCAAAATATTTCAAAACAATTCTACGAAAGTCACCAGTACTTTTCAATCATAAATTTGCTAATCGATAATAAAAAGACACAAATCCATAAACAATAATATCAAGTACTATTTGCAATTGGTAAAAAAATTAATTCAATCTCAATCTATTTTACAAAACAGTTAGGAACACGCACATGCGCAAGAAAGAAATTCTCTGAAATCATGTCTGTCATTTAAGCGGCAAATTTAAATATTTAAAAATATTAAGCTTGCATGCTTTTAATAATAATTGTACTATTGTACGAAACTTACTTCATTTAATGAAGTTTGGTTTTTTAGTAAAATGTCGTTATCAATAACTAAAGAGAAACCATCAAATAAAATGTAGAATGAAAGCAAGAAAGTTACACATTTCCGTTTGACTGGAAACATTTAATTACAAAATAAACCAAACAAAATAAATAAATATTTTATTGAAAAACGTCAGTTATAACAAATATATATTAGGCATTTTTACTGGTAGTCTGTTGTGGCGAAAGTTCGCGAACTTTTTCAGGCGAATTAGATCGATTCCTGGATGCATCTCTCTTCCTTTCCATTCTTAATTGTCTTTTCACAGCCTTATTTTCCAATTCTTCGCAATGTTCTGCGAACATCATCCTTAGTATAGGATAAAAATGATGTAAAAGGGGAAGTTCATCGAGACAAACCTGTAAAACAATTAGCAAAATAAGAAAATAAATGCTTGGAGCACGCCTCTGCACAAATGCGAATCATGGACGATGGGGATTTAGGAGCGTTTGAAATTTATTGTTAAAATATATGTTCTAAATTACAAAATAAACAGAACATATTGCCATCTAGTGGGCGTTTGCTGATATTTTAGTATTTTAAGCGTCAGACAAGAACAACGAGAATTTCTACACCGTCAATAATTTTTACAGTGAATTACTATTTTTATAAAAGATGTCAAGATTTGCAACTATATTAAATTTCAGAAATACATAAATTCTGAAGAAACGTCAATAAAATCTGCATAGTACTTTTTCAAATTTACGAAATGAAAAAATTCATGGTCATGTTGATATGACCATGTGCTAACTGGTCATAAAGTAGCTGGGTAGCTAGATAGTTTGAACTTCGCTCAAAAACTGAAGACCATTTTTTTTGAGGGGTTACTAAAGCATTGCACACAACATGTTTTTCTCGAAGTAAAAATAACGATCTGCATTCAATTTCAAATTTCATTTTACACTAACCTGCATATTATCGAAAGCAATTCCAACATTACTTGTAATATTTTCATTAAATCTTGGCAATTTTGCGTATCTCTGACTGAAATGAGTTAACATTATGAATTTGGCTTGCATTTCTTCTCCTATTGAGATAGCTTGGGATGTTGTAGAATGCATCTTAAAAACAGCCTCTTCGGCCAATTCGTCTTCCATCGTCGCTTCATGTATCAACAAGTCTGAATTCATTCCTGAAATAAAATTACACGAATAAGTTAATTAGGTACTTTCAAACCTCAACGCCCTCGAAATGGTTTAAAAAAATAAGGTTGAACCTATTAATCAAACTTAAATTGATTTTTTTTAAATAATTGTATAATAACCATACTGATATAGCAAAAAAATTAATAATTTTTGCTGGTTCGTTTGTACAAACAGGATATTCCAATCTATTGCAGTTCTTATACAATTTCATTATCTTATTCTAATAGAGTTTTAGAAGATATACACTGGAGTAGGATATCTTGTATCGTCTAATTCTTTTAATATAGATTATTGAAAACTGTTTTAGGTATAAACAGTAAAGCTGAAAATAAATACTTTTAAATGTTTCCACGTAGTATTAATTAAGATGCTTCATCATTCTGTACCAACATAAGCTAAAAATGTGGGTTTTTTATACTTAAAGTAATATTAATTCACATTAATTACACCAAAAGATGAAAAATTATACCGATTATGCTGGTGTCATTTTTATTTTGAATATAATTTTGAAGCATTTTAAGGATGTTTTATTTGCAGCGTATACCGGAACTAATATTGAAAAATACAAACCAATTTTTATTAAATTGTTGCTTGGCATAGTATCTCCAGAATATGTTATCTTCTTGCCGCTGGAGAGTTGGAATGAGACCCCAAACGCGTTAGGACAATGTCGAACGAAGCACGTGGTTATCGTCGACATATTCAATGTGCTCAGAAGACGATTTTCTATACTGGGAGATAATCGGTGATCTTCAAACAACTACATATAAACAAAAGGTTTTTTAATTCTTTTTTTTTAATAAAAAGTTTAAAAATTTTACTATTATTTTCACGAAGTTTAAACACAATTCAATAAAAGTTTTTCGCTTAACGATTATATAAAAATTTTAATCAATATTTTCAAAATTTTGAGTTATTAACTATTAATTTTAAATTGAATCTTCCTTCAGTTCTTCTATATTGCAAAATAAACGGAATAAGATAGGAAAATAACTCTCTTTCATCAGTATAATAATTTACTACGTACTTCGCCTTCCTAAACTGACCCTAGAGTTTCTTGCTTAAAGAAAGTAGTAATAAAATTACTTTCTCGTTTTGGGAACAATAAATTTCAACAAAAAAATATGCCCTTTACGCCAAATGAAATGCGCAAATGTCATAAAAAAGATTAAAGCAAAAATGTTGCTTACCAATTCGTTATTAGGCACTATCTCATAGTCAGTGTTGATGTTTTCGAAACATTTGTCATAAAACGTCAACCAGGGAATTATTTGACGAGGTGCTAATAAAAATATCGGATTTTCATCTGTTTTGATATTACAAAGAGCCCTTTTACGTCCTTGAAGAAAACCTATAAGACCGATGTGGTGATCCGCGTGCAGATGTGATATGTACACCGCCCGCGTATTCGCTACAATGACGTCTGCTTTCTCTTTTCCAAAAAACCTTACAATCTGCCCGTATGTGCCTTCACCGCAATCCAAAAGTACATTCAAATACTCGCTAAAAAGGTTAAATAATTTCATTAGTACATATATTGCTACGGTTTGGATCTTATCAACTAAATTATAATAAATGATACCACCTAATTTTATTATAAAAGGTGTCCACATTGGAGACCTTAAATGAACGATTTATTTATTGTTTTCAAAATCGAAAAAATGTTTCTTTTTTTCGAGAAAAATAAGATAAAGATCAAAATTAATTTAATTTTCATATACTAATTTTGACAAGATTGATAAATACGGCATTAAATGGAATTAACTTCAAATATATCTATTAATACAAAACCTATAAAATTCTTGAATTATTGTAAATAATGATTGCTAACATAAGCTGCTGCATGATAATGCGTCGGACTAAGTTAATAGATTGAATGGTTGACAATTGTCATCTTCTAAAGGCCGGGTCAGCACCAATATTGGATAGCGTACCCTTCCCCCCCCCCCTTTCGGTAACGCGGATCCATTGTATTCACGATATTGCTACCGTCGAACAACGCATACATCCAAGTAAAATTAACAGTTTCTGAATTTTTAATTTATAAGTGTTTACTTAAGACTGAACACATTTAATTCCTTCTTCAGTCCCCTTCCCCAAAACTGATCATAAAATATTAAGGTTATTGCAAGTCAAAAAGCCCAAAAAGGAATTTAAATGAGTTAAAATTTTACCACAAAAATCCTTACCTTTCAAAAGCGTAAAAGAAAAACACTTACTTTATTTGCAATAAGATTCCACTAGTATTTCTAGTCTTATTAGGAATGCAAGAACCAGTACCAAGAAATATAATTTTCGGATATGGTGCTATGGTAATGTTTTTGTACTCTTTAAGAAGTTTATTCTGTAATTCATTTAAAGCTTCAGAAAAGCCATCAGCTGCCATACATTCCTCTATATATTGCTCAGGTGTTAACTTTATTTCACCAGATCTACCATTGAAATTATTGAAGAATAATTGTGTTTTATCTTTTTATTTTATAATTACCTATCAATACCTTTCCTAGGTCTCAAGTGCATATTAAAAAATGTAAAAGGGCTTATTACGGACGAAGGAGTTGGTGAAGGAGGTACTGACTTTACAGATAACTTTTCCAAAGAATCAGCAGTAATAAGTGGAGGAGTTTTTCCTTCATTGTTTACACTATTTACGCCGTTTTCCACTTTCATTCTCTTAATTGAAGAATTTCCTTCAGAAATCTAAATACATAATTGAATTTTTTAAAATAATTGAATTTAAAGTCAAACCAACTGGCATAAAGAGTTGTTTTATTTTTTAAATCAACAACCGAAACTTTGCTCTTCGTTGTAAGATTTTATCAATTGTTCACTAATTAGTTTTACTATTACTCGAGTTAGGTTTAATGTTACTAAAATAGATTACAACGAAGTGCGAAGTGTCAGTGGTTGGTTTAAGAAACAAAACAACTTTTTACACCAGTTGGTTTTAATTTATCACAATTATATAAATTAGGACAAAAAATGAAATTATGTAAAGTTAAACTATGTATTACGTTTTCTTCCTGAATGCATTCTGTGCCCCTGTCACCTAACAACGGAAATATTCTATTGGACAGTAAGTTAAGTTTGTACTGAATACGATGCACTGAAATACTGCCCATACATGTATTTAAATCGTTCATGGCTAAATGGAACGTACTGGGCGTAAATTGTTCCATCCAATATTGATATCTGTAAATGTAAGACAAAATAATTAAATGACAATCATGACCAAATGAAATTTCCTTCAGGGTTCGACTACCGGCCGATTCAATACTTTTTTTTAATTAGACTTTACTTGTCTTAACAGCAAAATATACAAATGATTGTTATTTTGTACACATCTATGGCATACTACCTTTCGAATGATGTAAGTTTCATTCCATTAATGTTTTATGCTTTTGTAATAAATTACTAACTGCAATGAACATATGAATGAATGGCATTACCTAGGATTTTCCATTACATTTTTAGGCGTAAAATGAACCACCAAATAAGCAACATCTTCATCACAGGTTGCTTGAGCCTGATGTTTTCTAAATCGATCGTTATTAAGTAAGGAATCTATATAATCTTCTGATGGACAATCTATAACTAATATACACAAAACCCAATTAATCAGCAGAATAGAACATACATGTGTGATTGATATTTATTTACCTATAAAGATAGGACCAGGATCGTTTGGTTCACAAACGTCAACAGATCTGACTAAAGTACCGTCCTCAAGCAGAACATCGTTTCCTGATTTAAGCTTTCCTAATAATGGACCTGCAGGAACACCATATTGTACGCACTTTTCCAAACACAAAGCACCAGGTCGAGGTTTCAATCGACAAATATAAGCCATAGAAATGCCTTCTTCTTTAGTTTCTTGTAACTTTCGCGAAATGTCGCTTAATTTCTTGATTGGCGATGCAGGTCTATTTGCTAAAAATATGTCAATTTTTTTTTATTATTACTCATACAGTATAAAGTAATTTTTCAAATGAAAAAGCGGTCGGCATTAATGATCTCAGTGATGAAAAGCCAATGCTTGCCACAGCCATAAAACCTAAATACGCAGTCGTCTCCTAATTTCTCAAATTTTGATATTTTACAAAAGAATCACTATTCCATAAATTAGGCTTTCACGGTTGGCCAAATTTTGCCGCTGTTTCCGTTTATTAAAAGTGCAACTTTACCGAATTACAAGAAATACAATTTGATTAAAGGCAAAAAAAGGAAACTGAAGGTTGTGAGCTGTATTAGGTACGAAATTTATGTATTTGTGGATAATTTTAAGGAAAGACGGAATAAAAACCTGACGAGGATCTGGACCGGGAACGTCTCCTATCCCTACTTCTATGTCTCTTACGTTCGTGTGCATAATAATCAGTATCGTCATCCTCGAAGTCTTGAGCAGAATTATGACGAGGTGATCTTTGTCTAGACCTACTTCTTCGTCTACTTCTTCTACTTCTTGTCGATGTACTCGCTTCACTCTGTAACATTGAAACACTTTACAGTAAACTAAATATATATGCAGAAGTGCCTATTATGAAACGGTTACAAAGGGAAAACGGTAAAAAATTTAACATGCCCCTAGAAAAAATATAAACATCAAGTACAAATTAAAAGACTTAATTCTTGAGAAATAAAATGAAGATATTTGCAGTATAATAATTCTTACCATTTCATGTGATCCCATTTGAACACTCTTATGATTATCTGAATTTTCCTCAATACTTTCCCCTATAGTTGGAAGGTCACTTACACCATCCTGCATGTCATCTTCAATATATCTCAACAGTGGCACATACTGGACAGCCATCACACTATCTTCAAAAATGTTTGTTCCGTTAGTATCTGCAACATCTATTTGTAAATCCCTGATGATGACAAATCGGCGTGTAGCTGTGAAAATTTCTTCCTAAAATGAACATGGTTGGGTTATGTACAATATTTACTTAAATGTTGTAAGCTGTAACATACCAGTCCTTGTGGACCATGTAACGTAATCTGTGGGACACCTACATCTTGTATAGTTAATGCTACGCCTGGTAATCCCCCAATATTTCGCCAAAGTGGCTGAGTTACAAAAATATGTTCTAATTTAGACAATTTCATTTTATGTTCGTGGGCTAGTCTTTGAGTGCCTTCCCCACAATTGAACAAATATCTAAAATTGAAAGAGAACTTCACAATAGAAAATGTATCTTCAGAAATAACAAACGTTGAGATTAATTTTGCAAAAATTGATTTAAATTAATAGATGATAATAAAGGTGAATGGATAAATATTTGACAAATTGTGGAAAGTAATTTTACATATTTTCATATTTAACTTTTTTTATAAGCTATTTCTATTACAATTTTTTCTACAAAATTGTATAAAATACAAACCTGGACTGATCCGAGAAAACATACAAGCTTCTTGGTGCACCAGGAGCACCCGTGCCAAGCACTTGCAATGTAACTCTACCAGGAACATATTTAGCAAGCTTTTCTTTGATTTTCTTTCGCTGTTTTTGGGCTTCTGAAATATGCTTGGGATCTTTAGGCATGGATATTAAAATTTGTTCTAGGTTAGAATTTTTACGAGTCGAATAAAAACGCAAAGGAAGTGCAAACAGGGTCCTACAATAATTACAATAGGGAAAATGGAACATTAGGAGAATAACACTGAACAAATACCAGCACGTAAATTTAGCTTTTTTTAGTGTTTAATTTTTCATGCAATCTACAAGAATTTTACCACACTTTTTTGTTTTCTTTTTAACTAATTTGAAATAGTTCAACTAAATGTACCAATCGTAGACAGTGTCATGATCAACATTCGATCGTTCATTTGAACTAATGACTTCTATGGTCTGCACAATCAGATTTACAGCGTATACTTATATATAAGATCAAGAAACTTTCCAGCGAGGAACACATAAAGTGACACAAAACTTATTGGACAGTACTTCTTATGATAAATGTCGACTTTAATTGACCTTATCCTTTCTGGTTTAAAAGTTCCCATATCGAACTGCTTGGGTTAATTCTTCATTGGTAAATTAGAAAAGTATTATTATTTATTAGAGTTAGAGAGGTATAATTCTACTAATACACGAACTACTACTAATGCATTGTCGTTCATCTAGATGATAGCAAATTAGCAATAACAGAAATTTATATTTCTTTGTACCATGGCGCTGGCAAGGATTCAGTATTATTTCACAATCAGTCATATTCCAGGTCGTTTTCCAATTAGAGATTAGAGCACTAGAGCGCACAATGCGGCATTATGCGCATCATTATCTATGCGCATCATCGAGTGTTCCAACTACAGCAACGCCTCGCACCGTTGAACACTTTGAAAAGTACTGCCTAGTCCGATGCGCACAAAAAAATATAATTGAAATAATAAAAATCGAAAATAATTATAATATTTAGAAAAAGCTCTCGACTAATTATTATTATTGTTGTATACCATTCCCTTTAAAAGTACATTAATAAGGTTGCTAAGTCGATGACTGTTTTTTTCCTCAACACTGACAGTGCACTCTGTTGGTGCACTTGAAAACTAATACACATTCCAATTAAGCACCATCTATTATCTATGGCACCAGCACACTTCGCCATGGTGCGGCACTGAGTCGCATTATGCTCTGTAATTGGAAAACTACCACTATCGTATTATATTCTCTGATCTATGGTTAAACCCTTTGTGTATCTATTATCTATGCTGTCATTTTGATATTTTAGTTTATGTTTATAGAGTTTGTGTTTGGTTTTTGTATTTTGTCTCATATAATTTTTATTCATTTTTATTCTAGTCACTAGTAGATATTGAACAATTATTTATTACTGTAAACAAAGTTAAAACTATTATTGTAATTTGGAAAGATGGATGAGCAAAGTGAGGAATTATTATAATAATATGGTACATGTTAACACATTTTTTTAAGTTCTTTTAAGAAAGAAACATAAGGCATTTAAAGTTGGGAATCAATTGATGTTTGCATCTATTTGTACAGACTTAGGTGATTTATATACAAATGAAGCTAAATACGAAAATGCTATTGAACAATATCGTGATCTTGCTAAAACATATGAAGAACTACAGAGGAGAATGGACTATGCTAAAGCAAATAGGATGATTGGTGAAGCTTATATGCATTTAAATCAGTTTGAAGAGGCACTGCAATGTCAAAATATTTATCTAGGTAAGTCAGTCTTAAATTTTATCTTTTTGTTATTGTTTTCTGATTTACTTGCAGGAATTGCCCAAGAAGAAAATAACAAATTAGAAGAACAAAGAGCTCTGGCAACCATAGGTCACACTTACCTTACTAGTTATTTGTATGATAGTGAAAACAATAAGAAACATTTGGATTTTGCACAAAACTTTTTAATGAAAAGTTTAGTCATTTGTGAAAAGTATATCATATTAAAATTTGACTTTTTTACTTCTAATTTTTCAAATCATTTTTAGTTTGACTGGGATTAGTAAATATGATCATATGGATATGTCAGCACGCTTATTTGCAAACTTAGGTGTAATTCAAGAATGTGAAGGTAACTTTGATAAAGGAATAGAACTTGTTGAAAGGTCTATAAAGATTTGTAAGACACATAACTTGTATGATCAATTAGAAAGGTCATATAATCAATTGGGTTCATTATATTTTCAAAAGAAGGAATTTGACAAAGCTATTTCTCAGTATAATTTGGCTA